ATATATATATTAAAAAAGACTGCTTTTGGGACTGAATCTTTGAAATTTAGGTAGGTCTAGAGAGATTTTATTCAGCTTAAGCTCCATTTCTACTTAAAATAGCCCTGTAGTAGCTGTAAAGAAAGTAAATTAAACTTATAACAACTGACCTTTTGGGTGGTGCCCAAAGTTTGTTTTCAGATGTTCATTAGTTAAATATTCACCAGTTTCACCTCTAAGCTTTAGCTATTTGTGGCTCAAGTGAAGTAAGTGTGATCATTTCACTTCTCCAAATGTTACTTAACTGTCCATCTGTATGCCCTGGGGCTCTGTCACGAATGGATTCAGCCCTAGCGGATGCTAAAAGGGCCGAAATGGAATGTTTGGGTAGTGGAGAAGGAGAGTGTGGGGACTAGAAAAAATATTAATACTTCCACCTTCTAAGTTCTTATAGGCTGGGCTAATAACCAAATTAACAAAGACAGACTAACAGGAGAAAATCAAAGTTTAATACATGCGCATGAGGCATTCACACAGGCATGGTAATTCCAGGAAAATTCCAAAAACAGTGAGGCAGCATTGGGTATAAGGCATTTTTGGGCAAATGAGAAAGTGGGAGGGGGAACTGGGTATTAGATTTCAGAAGTGAAAATGGGCGATTTACAGGTATTCGGCAGGAACTAGGCAACTCAGAAACCACGGGACACTGGGACCTACCTCCTTGAAGCCCTCTATATATCATACTTAATTCAAATTGGGCTAAAGGGGACATCCTAAGATTTCCTTCCTGAAGCAAGTTTCTCTGTCTGAATCTCTTGGGCGGGAAAGGGAGGAGGGTCAAAGTTTCTGAGTCTTGTTTCTTAAGAAACAGCATCGAATTAGTATCCCAAAAGGCAGCATCGGGGTGGTGAAACTTTGGTTCCTTCAAAAGCTCTCTAGAGATAGCTCCTCACCTATTTTCTCTGGGAAGATTTCATTGTTGGAATTTTATTACAGAAGCTGAAAAGACTCGCCACCAAGTATAAGGCAGACAAAACCTATCCCTCAACTGTGGCTGAGAGGCCCAAGAATATCAAGAAAAACAGATATAAGGATATCTTGCCCTGTAAGTTTCATTTCTCCCTATGGACTTGTACCTTCCCCCCAATTCAATGATCCCTATCTCTTTTCACCCATTGCTTGCTGTTCTTAGTCCTGGAACATGGCTTTGCCAATGTAGTTTGTACTATTTATGACTACAAAAGAATATGCATTCATTTACTCACTCACTCACTCACTCACTCTTCAGACCACCATTCACAGTGTTAGTCCCTGACTTACACAAAGGCCTCTGATTAAGTCCCCTTAATGATTCTATAGTTTTCTTTTGTATTATAGATGATCATAGTCGAGTAGAGCTGTCCTTAATAGCCTCTGATGAAGATTCCAGTTACATCAATGCCAATTTCATTAAGGTACACTGCATATTCTCTAGGTTCCTAAAAAAAGGGAGGGGGTAGGAAATACACTAGACAAGAGCGAAAGGTTACTAGTTGTAGTCACCGCATGTAATTTCTGTTCCCCTTTAGGGAGTTTATGGACCCCAGGCTTATATTGCTACGCAGGGACCTTTGTCTACAACTCTCCTGGATTTCTGGAGGATGATTTGGGAATACAGTGTCCTGGTAAGAGCAGAGTTATTTTTGTTATTATCTTTTCTCATTTTTAGGGACAGAGGGGGTGAGGGCATTGGAATATGTTATTGGGGTTTCCTAGGTATTAAAATAGTGCTTTTTTTGGTCAGGCACTAGAATTTCAGTGTTCCGGTACCTTTTAGTCAAAATTACAATGTCACTCTTCAAGGAAATGAAAGTTCTCATCTTGACCAGCTCATTTGTTAATGAGAATTTACTGATTTGAATAGAGAAAAGGGAAGTGAGGACAGAAAGAAGGATGGGTAGGATCAACAATTTTAATTGATCAAGATTTTTTTTTTTTTTGGTTAAAAAAAAACAAAACAAAGCAGAAACCCCCCAGAAGCCCAGCTGGTGTTGCTCAGTGGTTGAGTGCCAATCCATGAACCAAGAGGTCACCAGTTCGAATCCTGGTCAGGGCACTTGCCCAGTTGCGGGCTTAATTCCCAGTAGGGAGCTTGAAGAAGGCAGCTGATAGATGATTATCTTATCGATGTTCCTACCTCTCAATCCTTCTCCCTCCTCTCTCTCTAAAAAAGCAATAAAAACATTTAAAAAATAACAGAAAAGAATAATTAACACTTCTTGGCCCTGGGACCCAAGTATTAACTGCTCTTTCTAACTATATCAACAGTTAAGTTTCTATCTATTTCATCCCCCCAGATCATTGTTATGGCATGCATGGAGTTTGAAATGGGGAAGGTGAGTTCTTTTCAGTATACCTAAAGGTAAAGGAAAGAAGGAAAAGAAGGGGGGAATTGGTAGCAAAACTTTCCTTAAGCTGCCAAATGAAATGACTCACAAGGCTTTGTTTTTTTTTGTTTTTGTTTTTGTTTTGTTTTTACTCCTAAGGACCCCTTTTGTCCATTTCCCCAGTAGACTGTATTTTAATAAAACTGAGGTATGCCTTTAAAAGTAACCATTCATCTTCCTATTTTATTAATCAGACATCTTTAACTGCCAGTCAGAGCTTCTAACCCCATGCTGTCCAACATGGCATCCACTGGCCACACATTGCTACTGAGCTCTTGAAATATGGCTAGTGTGACCGAGGAATGCAATTATTTTTACTTTAATGAATTTCATTTTAAAAACTGATACTGAATTCAGTGATTAGAAAATTTTAAGTATGTTTGGAAAACTTTGGTATGTGGATCTTTTTCAACTATAAATTTTCTGAAATCTAAATGGGAATAAAATATTTCCAATGACAATTTAGCATATTAACTGAGATGTGCTATGAATATTAAAAATGCACTGGATTTTGAAGACAGTTTAAAATGTCAAATATTTAATGACTGTTGTATATTGATGCCATGTTGAAAATTTTTTGATATATTGGCTAAGTAAGATATATTATTAAAATTAATTTCACTTTTTTCATTTTTGAATGTGGCAATTCAAAATTTTAGAAAATTTAAAATTACATATGTAGCTCACATTATATTTCTATTGAGCAGCATTCTTCTAACCTATTGTTGCCATTCTGAGTTGATACAATTCCAGCTAAAACCAAGGGAACTTGGTGTTTCAGTTAGCTTGCGCAACTCTTAGGATGATACAATTCCAGCTAAAACCAAGGGAACTTGTGCAACTCTTAGTAGACATGACTTTTGTTAATCTTTCTGAAATACTGGAAATGTCAGATTCCCATTTCTACTTCTTCAGACTTCTAGGAAGTCTGTAATTTATATAGCTTTTAATGTTTGATTTCCCATCCTTGGAGATTCCAGACCATATAGTTGGGTTTGAAGGCCAGGGGGATTAGAAGTTCCTTAGGCGAAAGACACAGAGCTGAACTTACTTCTGAATGAGGGAGCGGGTGTTGTTACTCAGAAAAGACTAGAATATACAGAGGAAAATCACTGTATTCTGCTTTGCGCTACAGAAAAAGTGTGAGCGCTATTGGGCTGAGCCGGGAGAGATGCAGCTACAACTTGGCCCTTTCTCCGTCTCCTGTGTAAGTATGACACCTGTTTCCATATGGCTGAGCCAGTGCTCCAAGCTCTACTTTACAGAGGGTAGTTTTTGAATCCTAGTCTTTGAAATAACTAATATTTTAATTTACTTTTTAGGAAGCTGAAAATAGAAAATCTGATTACACAATCAGGACTCTAAAAGTCAAATTCAACAGTGTAAGTATAGAAATTCAAAAGCCTACAGAGATCAGGCAGGTGAATATATATGTGACTAGGGCTGGGCATAAGACAATGGGGAGTGGTGGAACCTTTGATGTTTTGGGAAAATCTTCATATTAAAAAAAGACCTTTGTTGTAATCTGGGCTCCCCAATCTATTCCACACTGTGACCACATATAAACAGTTTTTGTAGGGTGAGTGGAGGCTGTACAGTGAATAGGGACTACGAACCAATTTGAGAACTCAGGCTGCCCAGTCTTGCTAAGACAGAGGAATTTAATTTATCAGCATATCTGTGACCCATTTGAATTTTCCCAGTTGGGAAGCTCTGGTTGAATTATCTCTTCTTTTGATTGGGACAGATAGGGACAGGTCAATAGTAAGTGACGTGAAATCACTTAATTGTTCTTCAAAGGTATATGGTCACCAGAGGTCTATAGAGAAGAAAGCAGCATAAACTGCAAAAAGGATCTGATGCTACCTAGTAACTCAGAGTAATCTTGTGGTGGAATGAGGTAGAGCCCCAACCTTGAACTCTCCTTTTATTCTGGCAAAGTGTTTGTGTGAACTAGTATAAATTCATAGTAAACATCATTACATAAAAGGGTACGGTCTTTTTTTTAATAGTTTTATTCATTTCAAACGGGCCGGATCCGACCCACGGACCATAGTTTGCCCACGGCTGATCTAGATGCTACCTAGTAACTCAGGGTAATCTTGTGGTGGAATGAGGTAGAGTCCCAACCTTGAACTCTCCTTTTATTCTGGCTATTTTTTTTTAGGAAACTCGAACTATCTACCAGTTTCATTACAAGAACTGGCCTGACCATGATGTGCCTGCATCTATAGACCCTATCCTTGAGCTCATCTGGGATGTACGTTGTTACCAAGCGGATGACAGGGTTCCCATATGCATTCACTGCAGGTATGATGCTGTTGTGTGAACCTTCCCCCCAGAACAACCCACGTGTCCCAGTCTGGCCAGGACTCTTGCTTTAACTGAAGGAAGACTGACTTTGTTGGCAGTGAAGGTGGTATGAGCACACGGGACATAGGCTCCTGATCCTCGCCTTACTTTGTCCAGTTGGTCAAAAAGGAATGAAACAAAAGAAATGAGTGGTAGAAAGAGAAAGGTCACAGCAGAAACAAGGTATAAAAAATTCAACATGGGAATTAAATGAATAGTTTTCTGATAAGATGCTTGTGAACGGGACAGCTCTAGAGACTCTTGCTGTGAGCAGTTGCCCAGATGTGTCCTGAAGTTCAGTGTGACATGTGGCAATTTGCAAACAGGTTTGGGAAATGGTAGTGTTTTGAAAGTTTTGTTGCCTCCAGGTTTCCGACTTCCTCAAATCTGCTGGGGAAATTGTCCAGCTTCTGTCAATGACCCATCTGCAATTACAGATGCTACAACTGTGATCTTTTATTTTAGTGCCGGCTGTGGAAGAACTGGTGTTATCTGTGCTATCGATTATACGTGGATGCTGCTAAAAGATGGGGTGAGTTTCTCTCAGCAGGCACTTCCCATTTGTTTACCCTTCTATTTTCAGACTTAGGAATTGTTTGGGTCTTCAAAACACCTATCTCCATAATTCACCTTCTCTAGAATGTTGATGTGGAGACCTGCATTGCCAGATGATTAAACTAGTCCCTAAGTCTGTGGTTTTCAAAGTGTGGTCCCCAGACGAGCAGCATTAATATCAGCATCACCCGAGAACTTGTTAGAGATGCAAAATGTTAGGCCCCACCCGGGATGGATTGAAGCAAAAACTCTGGGGTTGGGCCCAGTGACTCTCCAGGTGCTTCCTATGCAATGGTGTTGTTGGAGGACCATTGCTCTGCGTTACAGTCATCCTTCCTATATGCACATCGCTTTAGTAGGTGCACTCAATTTACAATCAAACTGTGTTCCAACACATTGTTTTTTAAAGGTTTAATAAGAAATGGGAAATTTAAGATATGGGCCTTAGAACTATCTGCCAACTTCTTTTATTTCATAAAACTCATACTTGCACATGCACATCTACTGAGCCTTCTTCATTTTACCTCTAACTTTAGACATTTGATCACCCCATGTGAAATCATTTTGAAGACTTTCTTCATAATATACTAATTAGACCAGACGTCCTTCTAGACAACTTTCCCAACAAAGCTGGGATTGTGAGGCGAGGCAAAAGAGGCGGCCACCTGGGCAGCGT